ATATCTTGGAAGGACATATGCTAGGGTGCAAAGCACCAAAGACCACCTAGGAGCTGTCCAAGTTATTTCCAACAGTGCAGTTTACTGTCCCAGGGAAAATCTACACATATTTCTTGCTGTACAGCCAATTGGAAGGTCTTCAAATGCTGTCCAAACATTTCATATTGTTGACCACGCCTTCAAGAAGGCTCTTGGATGCATGGGCGGATCCCCATATTAGTGAGGGGGGCAGCAAATGCCCACCCTTAAAATTTTTTTAAAAAATTTTAGAGGGTATTTTTGGGGGGGGGGGGGCAGCAAATGCCCACCCTTAAAATTTTTAAAAAAAATTTTAGAGGGTATTTTTTGGAATATTTTGGGTATTTTGGATATTTTGCCCCCTCTCAAAAAAAATTTTTGCCCTAATTTTATCAATCCTAATCATTTTTGTCCATCCCCTACCAAAAAAAATTTTTTTGCCCACCCTAAAAAAAGAAGCTGGATCCGCCCCTGCTTGGATGCCACCTACTTTCTTCCAAGCCTTCCTATAGCCATATGAACTTTCATATCTTCTGATTATTTAGGTAAACTCTCATCTAAATATTTTAATCTCTTAATCTCTACTCAATTGTGGTTTATAAGTGATTCATGAAGGTTCTTGTCATTCTCTCCGCTAACGCCAAGAAGTTGGAAGAGTTATGTGAGGGATCATTCATAGTACTAATCTCATTGTTAGTATAGATATTTCTTGTTGAAACTTTTCATGTATGCATTATTAGGCTAAGTGATTGTTTTACGGTCTTAACTCCTATGCATGTGATTTAGCATAAGCTTGTGTCACCGCTCCTTGAGTTTTATTTTTCATTCAAAATCAATATCAAGATATAATTATTATGGTTCCTAAAATTAAGCGTGCAAACTTCTTTAATCAATTCATTCTTGCAATTATGTTCTACATCACAAACATTCAAGAACAAATAAAAGAAAAAGAGCTAAAAAAACAAAACAGTAATAAATACACTTGGCAAACAAAGCTACAATCTAAAAGAGCAAAAGAAAGCAAAAGAAGCATCCACCCAAGAAGGCTCAATATAGGAATTGCATTCACCATGCCAAAGACAAATTCCCGGTTATGAGGTCTGCCATCAAGGAGATCCTAATTGCAAAGAGTCGCCTTCTAGGGTACAAGAATGCAATCCAATTATATTCACCCCATAATACTAAACTCAAAGCCGAAAAGCCAAGATCAAAAGCAGAAATATCATGATATGCATAATTTAGAGTTGTAGAACCCCACGACCAGCGTAGAACCAAAAAAGGGCCCAGTAGAAACTCCAAAAATAGTGAAAATAAAGCCAATGATAGCAAGCAACCAATCATCACACCAGCATCTAATCCCCACCATAAATAATACTTTTGAATTTTTCTCCATTCTTCCACCTTATAGCTTCAGAAAGATTGCTTTTTTAATAATCTCTTTAAGAGTAAATGAACTTTTTACAGATGATGCAAACTTTCTTTTATTACATTCTCTCCAAATATAATAGACTGAACTCCATAAAATTAAGAAAGACAACTTGATTGGTATTCCCCTTATCCCTTCAGAAATGAAATCAGTAACTTGGAATAGATTTCAGCATTTATGATGACTTAATTACATTTCACATAGATCTTAGTGCTTGATAAGTGTCGTTCATATAAGATTTTTTTTCTGTTTAAGCACTGAACTTTCTCTCTCCCCCCTCTCTCTCTCTCTCTCTCTCTCGTGGTCATTCATGGAGTGGACATTATGGCAATTATTCCTGCTGCAGCTGGAGAAGCTTTCATTTGCTTCTTAAGAACCTCAATCAACCTATTCATCATGGCCAACAGAATGTCAAGTCACTCATTCCTTTTGTCTACCATAGAGTGGGGGTTAGCCTTAGAGGGGGAGAGAGATTTTTGAGGACAAGCGTGGGGTATAAAACAATTTTTGTGGAGGACTCTTTCACAGTCTTGTTTGTAGGAAAATAATGTTTATGATCATTGTTTCCTTCTCAATATTGCTTGAAGACTTTGTTTCTTCATCTTCACTCTCAATTAGATCTTCAACATTCATCTTCCAATCATAGTTGCATGACGGTGGTCAAGAGATTTTGGTTGAGTAATGATGATTAGGAGATTATAATCTAGTGATGATAGTTAAGAGAATTTAGCCAGGTGATAGTATTTGGGAGGTCGTACTTAGGCGATGATAGTCGAGATAACATAGTCAGACAATATTCATTGGGAGAAAATAATTGAAAGATGGAGGTTTGGAGAACATAATCGGTGAGTTGACCAAATATTGTAGTTGGGAAATGGTGGTCAGGAGGTCATAGTTAGGTGACAGCGATTGAGTAACTATAGTTGGGCAATAATGATTGGAATACTTTAATCCAATGAGAGTGATCAGAAGATTGTAGTTGAACAATGATGGTCAAGAGACCATAATCGAGCAACGATGGTTTTGAGATCATTGTTGAGCAGAAATAGTCTAGTGACAATGAACAAAAAACTATAATTTGGGACAATGTACAAAAAATCATTGTCTAATGAAAATAGTCATGAAATTGTAGTAAGTGGCAGTAGTCTGGTGAATGTGGTAAAAAATTTGTAGCTTGGTGATAATGGTCGGGATATCATAATCAGACAATTGTAGTGAAGAAATCGTAGCTATATGTAACGGTGGTTGAGAGAACATAATTAAAAGATGGTAGCCAGGATAACATAATCGAGCGATGGTGGGTGGTCGGTGACAGTGGACATGCGATAATGGTGGTTGGGAAACCACATCCAAGTGATGATAGTTGGCATATGGTAGTTGGGTGACAACGATCTGGAGACCATAATCATGAGATGGTGGTTTGATGGCAATGTTCAGGCAGTGGCAGCCCAACGATAATGATTGGGTAACAATGGTATGATGATGGTTGTCAAGCAGAGCTCTATCCTCCCCTATCCAACTCCCCCATCATGCGAGAAAGATTGTCTATTTATCGCTTTTATGAGAGTGACATTTTGATAAATTTAATCAAAATCCTAAAATACTCTATAGAATGGGATGAAGTAATCACCATTTTTATATATAATTCCCTTAGTATTTAAGTATTTTAATAATGTCAAAATTAAGTGATCATAACTAGCTAAATTTACCTTATCAAGAGTCTTGAATTGACTACTAACATGCAAATTTTGGATATTATTTGCTCATCCAATTAATATCTTGATATTTTCAAATGTTTGATTTGGGCTCATTTGGATTCGTATCAAATCACTTTTTGTGTCAAGAGATCATAGTCAAATGACTGTAGTCAAAAGTTTATAGTTGGACAACAATAATTAGGAGATTATATTTCAGCATTGGTGATAAAAGGACCCTAATTATACAATGATGGTTAGGGGATTATAATAAAATAGTAATAGTTTGATAACGGTGATCAGGAAACCACAATGAAATGATGGTAGTTCAAAAATCATAATCAAATAGTAATGATCGAGAAATCATAGTCAAACATTGATGATTGAGAGATTGTAGTTAGATAGTGATAGTCAAGAAGCCATAGTCAGGTGACAATACTCTATTTAAAATAGTCAATAAGTGGTTGTTGAGGGAGAGTGGTCATGAGATATAATTGGTGATAATGATTAGGGGATCATTGTCGGACAACACTAATTTGATAATGTTGATCTAGAAATCATATTTAAATTATGGTTGTCAACAAATCATGATCAATCAATGGTGGTCATGAGATTGTTGTATGTGATAGTAGATAGAAGTTATAGTCAAGTATTGGTGGTCGAGAAATCATAGTTGAACGACAATATCCTACGATGGTGATTAAGAAATAATTATCAAGTGGGAGTAGTTGGAGACCATAGTTTGGCAACTATGGTCAGTATAGGATGATCCAATGAATGTGACCGAGCAATGACTTCCCTATGACGACGATTAGGCAACAATGGTGGCCAGGTAGCAGTAGTTCGACATCATCAGTAGGGTAGAACTCTACAAATTTTCAAATCTCAACTCTGTCATCCTTCTCCTTAATGAGGAGAATGAAATCTATTTATAGTTTTATTTATTGTCATTTTGTAAATTTTAGCAAAAAATTCAAACTATTCCATTGGACTATTTTTTATTCATTCCATTGATTATAAATAATTTTTTAACATTTAAAAATTTTAATGACCTCAAAATTGAGTGATATTAAACTCCTTGGATTTCCCTCATCGAGAAGAATGATTTTAATAAGCTTGTAAGGTTAGAGATTGTTTATTTCTATAATTAACAATATCATATATAAAGGTTCTTATTAAAATTTAAGTGCTTAATTCGAACTCATATCACATCAATTTTGTTGTCATTGAGTTGATATTACCAATAAGTTTGGTTCCACTATGAATTTGTTGAGTCAAAGTTCCGATGGTACTAAATTTAACCAAACTAAATATGCATAAATTTTAAAAAAAAGTAAATTCAATTTTATCTTTTCTTAAATTAAAAATATAAAATATCAATATAAGGCGAGCCGCGAGGAGCCCGTTTATGTTAAGAAGAGGGGTGTCAATTTTTGACACGACCCGAACTCGACCCAGAAAAATCCGGGTTCGGGTTAACCCGGACCCGAAACGGGTCGGGTTCGGGTTCAACAAATCAACCCATTTTAAAAATCGGGTCGGATTTGAGTTGACACAGCAACCCGAAAATGACAAGAAAACTTCTATTTGACTCGGAAACCCGAGATTGGCCCGTTTTTACCCGATTTTGATCCAAAAATTGAAGATTAACCCGATTTTTTGACCAGAAAACTAGCAATTTTAGGTCAACTTTGGGTCATTCGTGTCGGGTCGGGTTGACTCTGACCCGAAACGGGTCGGATTCGGGAATGGAAACCTGACCCGTTTTTAAAAATGGGTCGGATTCAGATTGACCCAAACAGTATCGGGTCAATTTCGAGTTCGACCCGAACCCGACCCGATCACCCGAATTGTTAAAATGCTCACTTGGCTTCCAGCCTACTCAAAAGGCTTCGCTATCTCTCAAGTTTGCATCTTCGTCGCGGACCTCGCCCTCCCTGTCATGGCTTCGGCTTCGGTTCCTACGGTGATGGTGGAGGACAACAACTTCGAGGACGACCAGCTTGCTGCGATGACAACCGATGACATAACTAGGGCCTCTCGGCTTCTCGACAACGAGATCCGAGTTCTCAAGGTGCGAGATCGAGCTAGAGTGGGAACCCTAGATCAGAGCTCCATTCTCGCAACTTTAGAATTCTCTTTCCGCTTTTAAATTCTACGAATTTTTTCATTCCTGATGATCTTGCTTCGATTCTTTGTAGGACGAGCTGCAGAGGACGAACCTAGAACTGGAATCGTTCAAGGAGAAGATAAAGGAGAATCAGGAGAAGATCAAGCTCAATAAACAGTTGCCTTACCTCGTCGGAAACATCGTAGAGGTTGCCATCCTTAGTTCTTAGAGGGGGCTAATTTATAAGAAAATAAAAATATATATTAGACAAAATTCAAAATAAAATCTTATACTGCAAAGCCTTTGATTGTGTTAATCAGGATTCATTATTACTCTGACTTGTCTTTCTTAGCGTCCCTACAATTTTTATGAGTTTATCAACTGAATTGATACCTACATTAGCCTTATTCCCTTTTCTGTGATTGTTAAATGGGTACATTGTGTTTATTTATCTTCTACAACCCGCTCTAACCATACCTCTTCGTCACTGTTATGGAAGAACTTTTCTAACTTATTCAAGGAATGCTATCTAAAAAATCTCTCTAATCTACTATGCATAACAGCGTGCCTAATAGTCACCTTATATTTGCATATGACCTCCTGTTCTTGGGGAAAACTAGTTTTAACTCTATTTCAAGCATGATATACTGCTTGCAGAATTATAAACTTTCAGATTTGCCAACTATTGGACAAGAATGCAGCTTGTTGTGCTTCCCTTATCAGATTATTATCTAAACCTGCTATTACAAGTCCCCGAAACTCTGTTCATTGCTTTTAACTTAATTGAGTTATTTTCTTTTTGGTAAAGATGAAGGTTTTTAAGTAAGAGACGTTGCAGTTTTTTTTTTTTCCTAATTTAACAACTTAGGCCATTTTTGGGATTTAGATTTTGGAGATGAATCCAGAAGAGGCTGAGGAAGATGGAGCTAATGTTGATTTAGACTCTCAAAGAAAGGGAAAGTGTGTTGTGTTGAAGACATCAACTCGTCAAGTAAGATTCAATTCTTCATTCTTCTATGTTCATTAAAGCTTTTTTTTTTTTTCGGGGGAACCAAACTTTTACACTCCAACTGGTAGTGATCACTTGTAATTAAATTAAGCACCTTTAATATTCTCTTAGTGACATATTTGGCTAAAAATTGAAATTTTGGAGAGTTGCACAAACAGATGGCTAAAGCAGGACATTTTAGATTTTGTGTTATTGAAAAGTAGTAATAACCTTATTCTTTAGGCATTTATATTTATAGTAGAACATGCAGGATTAGTTTTTTTTTTGCCTTGATGTTTTGATATCTTGTTTTATGTAAGTCCCAAATTAGGGATTTATATTTATAGTAGAACATGAAGGCTTAGTTCACTTTTTTTGCTTTGATGTTTTGATGTCTTGTTTATGTAAGTCCCCAAACATGCTCGTAATTTCCATCAGATGGTTACTTTCAAGATTTAGAGTAATGTACATCGAGACTGTTTTTTCCTTGCATTTGCAGAGTTTAAATTTCTCTCATAAGATCTTGGATCTTATTTGCAAGCATTTTATTTTGATTTATGTATACTTTATTACTTGCATTCAGTGGTTAATTATTATTATTGAGTTTTATTTTGCTTTCAATATCAAACTATGGTAATTTAATTTGTTTTACTTGTGTTCGACGGTAGACAATCTTTCTTCCAGTTGTTGGGCTCGTTGATCCTGATAAGCTGAAGCCAGGTGATCTGGTTGGTGTTAACAAGGATAGCTATCTGATATTGGATACTCTTCCATCTGAATATGACTCACGTGTAAAAGCAATGGAGGTTGATGAAAAGCCAACGGAAGATTATAGTGACATTGGTGGCCTTGAAAAACAGGTGATTCCATAATATCTATGAGCCTATTGTTCTAGTTTAGATTGAAAAATTTATGTTGTCTGCTAATTATCTCTAATTTGCTGATTGATTCCAAGTTTTGTTTGTTGAATGTTTTGGTGTTTCTTTGTTGGTTGCTTAGCTTTGGGACCTTTATAAAATGTCCTAGTAGGATGTTGTTTTAGCACTCTTCCACACCCATAGGTCTAAGATCCATCAAGCAAGCCTATTGTTTTATATTCTGTCCTTAAAAACTCACATAGATGCTATGTAAAGCATTGTCTAGCAATTATCTTTTTAACAAGTCTTTTTCAAGTGAAAGGATTTCTGATAGGAAACAACCACTTTAAATCCAGAAAACTGCTGAATTTCAGGAAAAAAAAAACAGCAGCTATAGTGCAGGTTTTGTGAAAACTGTGGGAAAATATGAGAAAATCACTTGAAATTCACTAGAGGATGAAGAAAAACAGCAAGATACAATTGTCCTCTATTCGAGAGGAGGATTGATCTCTCCCAAATCTCTAGACGCCGCTAAAGCCCAAAGAAAACCTAGATCTAAGTGATCTCAAATTTCAGCCAAATTCAAGATGCCCTAACCCTAGGAAAACAAACTATTTAATGCATACAATTCAAAAGAAAATCTCTAAACAGTCCCTACATTCAAATTCCCTCCTAAACTTCATTCTAAATCCTTCCTAAACGGCTCTGTAGAAATCGGGCGGTTGGGTCCCATGTACCAGAGGCGGAAGAGTTCCGCTTCTGGTCTCCGTGAGCCGGTCCCGTATGGACCAGTCTAACAATTTCTAACCCATTGATTAAAGGAGTTGTTTGTATTTCCATGGTCATGAATTCGAGCAACATACTTTGTGATTTGTTGCGTGCCATTCCAACCCTGAGCCCCTAGGGAAAAAAATCCTTATTAAAGCAAAAATGTACTCATGTTGTCCAAACGCATATCTTACATTAAATGTTTATGTTATCAAACCATCGTGCTTCCCTGTTTGATTTTAACTGTTACCTGAGTAGAATCTTATGGTTATGAGTACCTAGCAAGTTTTTTTTTTTTTTTTTTGGTTTGAATGCGCTTTTCATACACATGTGACTATTTCACTGGATAGTGCAATGTTTTGGTATTTCCATAGATAATTTCTCTTGGATTTCCAGATTGTATTGAATATTTTATGATTAGCTTGTCATTGGAGATTTTGGAGTTGAATTAATATCTATTGCATAAGTTCTCCATCAAAGCAAATAAATTATGATGGCATGTTTTCTTATTCTATGGACTATTTCACTAGATCCTAACTTACCGTTTTGATGCTCCTCGTATTAATTTTTGAATTTCTGTAGATTCAAGAACTTGTTGAAGCCATAGTCTTGCCGATGACACACAAGGATAGGTTTCAGAAGTTAGGCATTCGACCGCCTAAAGGAGTACTACTATATGGACCACCTGGCACTGGAAAAACATTGATGGCTCGTGCTTGTGCTGCACAAACAAATGCAACATTTCTGAAGCTAGCGGGCCCACAACTTGTTCAGGTTAGCACAGGTTAAAAATTTATTGTTGAATTCTATTTTATGAGGTTATATTTTCATCTTTGAGGATTGCATTGAAAATTGTGAAGGGCCTTGTCACCTGAGCAGCATTATTGCTCAATTTTGAAATTTTCCAATCCAAGCACTCCCCTTGCTGGGCCCTTTGCTAGCATATAGCACACAGGGCATAATGAACACTTTAAAACTGTGGACAGGGATAATTATCCTCCTAATTTAGTTGTGATACAGTTCTCTTTAGTTTTTTTTTTTTTTTTTGTCTTCCTTGTTGTTATGAGTTGGCACAAGATAATGACTCCTAGAATGTCAGTCATTTTAATCTTAGATCTAATTATGGTTTATATTTGTTTCCCTTTTTGTTAAAATTCGAAGTTCTTGCTATAGAGTATTATTGGATTCTTTCTTTTTAGCAAGAGAACTTCATGCACTAGTAGTTCTGCAGACCTTTTTAGCATGTGGTAGTCATGGAGAAAAGACTGCTTAGTTAATATGTATTTTACTATTTTGCTAAAGGCTAGGAGGTTAGTGAATTTGTATTTTTAAATTGATTTTCAGGATTGTGATCTCTCTTCTATTTTGGCTGTGAATTTCTTTTGGTTCCTTTAGTAATATTTGTATTGTGCGCACTTTTACCTATTTTAACACTTTTTTCGATCAAGTGCAATAAAAAAGGTTGGATGCATCTTTTCAGAAATTTATTTATTTTTTTTCTCACTTCCACTTTTTCGGTTTGGTGTGGGTGCAGATGGTGGATTGTTATCTTGTAAAATATTGTGATTTGAATTTAAATGAATTTATGTAATTGGATGCTACGCAGATGTTCATTGGTGATGGTGCAAAACTTGTACGTGATGCTTTTCAGCTTGCCAAAGAAAAGTCTCCTTGTATCATTTTCATAGATGAAATTGATGCAATAGGGACCAAACGTTTTGATAGGTATGACATGTTGCTTTCAGGTATTTATTTGGTAGCTGTATCTCTACAACAAAATTTGAATGCTTTTGACTTTGATTTTAAATTATTTTTTTATATTCCAAATTGACGACTGTAGTCTAATTAATTAAATTTTTTTGTTTTTTCTTCTTATTCACCTCTTGGATATAATAAAGTGTAAACTTTTGTTGAATTCTATTGTTTTCATTATGTTATGGTTTGCATTTGTTACTTGTAGTTCTTCAAGTTTTTAATGCTCAGCTTTCTCTTTTTGTGTCAAGTTAACTCGAGTAATTTTGATTTGATTTATTAAAACTCTTAGTGATTTTGATTTGATTTATTCTTGATGTTGGTAAATATTCTTTCAATGAATTTGGTGCTCATTGGTGAATTTTATGCTCATTCTTTACCTTCCATGATCACGCTTCTTAAAAATTGATTTTTCCTGGAGGAGCTTGTAGTGGCTTTTGAAGCTTTAAATTGTCTTCTAATTTTTGGTTGATTTTTCGTGGGTTTCTTCTTTCAGCAGGTTGGATTTCCATTTAATATTTTCCTGATGACACTGTTGAATTGGAAACATTGATATAGTTATAATCTCCATATAATCTTTAAATCCTCAATTAATAGGGTGAACTTGGAGTAGTGGTTATGTTGCTTCAGTCGAGGTCTCAAGTTTGTGTCATGGAAATAGTCTTTTGCAAATTTAGGGTAATGTTGTTTACATCAACTCTTGTTAAGGCTCGTGATAATTTTGATTTAATCCCTGATGTTAAAAATCTTATTGGTGTAGAGATACCAGCCCTCACCCATGAGCTCAAACGTTTGGGTTAAAATAGGGTTTAACCATTGTGTATCTAGCCTAACTTTGATATCCTTTGGTTTCACATTCCTTAACAAGTGGTATCAAAGCCAATGGTTTGACTGTGATCAAGTGGTTCTTGCGGTTTTTGGTCTCACATGTCTTGGCCACTTTCTACCATGTTGAAGCAAAGTTCCAGCAAGTCCCGCTGTATCACCACATAGTTGAGCTAGCTCTTAGTGCATGAGTCTTAATGATGTTAAAAAAAATGTTTCCATTTATGGGGAAGTATTGACAGATGTAGAGAGTTCTCAAGTGAGAGGGAGATTATTAAAACACATAAGAATTTGGGTTTAGTCCCACGCATCGGATGGTTAAAAAACTTGTTAGTTAAAAAATATGAAGTGATTGACCCTCATATATAGGCTTAAGCTTTTAGTTACAAAATGTGTTTAACTATTAGTTTATTTGACGCTTTATTGGCCTAGTTTGATTTCACTCTCTTTGACATTCTTGAGACTTTACATTTGCAGGAACTCCATGAGTGGAGATATAAATGAATCCACATAAGTACTCAATTAAACTTCTTTGAAAATTTGACTAGTTCAACATTAGCATTTGGGAACAGTTCTCTTTAAAATGGGTTCCTTGTATTCATTTATATCTCATGTGACATAAGAAAGCTACTGCTTGCAACTCCATGAATGAGCTTTAAGAAGTAAAATTTTCTATTTCTAAATTGGAAATTCTATTTGTGTATTTGAACTCTGGAGAGCATTCTATGAATGTGTTTCTGTTGAACATTTTATTGAAGCTGGGCCAATATTGCTGGTTTGAACTTGAGATCTAACCTTGACATGTAAACATGGGATATTGAGATATTTAGTGTGACATCGTTTTGAGGTTGATATAATGTTGTTGGATCATCTTGCGTAACAATTTTAATCTCTATTACAATGATCTTCTGGAAGCCATCATTTTATGGATTTTTTTCCCCTTCATATTACGTCTATCATCACATGAAATATAATGCTTTGAATTTCTATCATGCTATTGCAGTGAAGTAAGTGGTGATAGAGAAGTTCAACGAACAATGTTGGAACTGCTTAATCAGCTTGATGGATTTAGTAACGATGATCGAATAAAGGTGATCATACATACTTTCTGTTGTTTGTCAAGCATTGCGAAACTTGAAAATTGTAAATAATATTTTAGTAGTAGAAAAACTGTATTCCACATATAGCACACTGCCCTTAATTTGCCTTTTTTTCTCTTAATATCTGGCCATTGAGCCTTGTTTATCTTCTCTTTTCTGTGTAATTGTAATTCTACTTGTAAAAGTATTTTTACTCCACTTCATAGGATTTAGCATCATTGGTTTACCTTGGTAAGGTAGTTTGAACAGCTGCTTTAGACAGTGTTCAGGTTGTTGATCACTTTTTCATAAGACCTACACAAAAGAAAAGCTTTCTTGAAATCATTTAGGCGCACTAAATAATTTGGAGCGAATTTTACTATGAATTGATAAAAATCTTTGAAGTTTGGCATGATTTTAGTCTTTATTTAGTTTTGATTAATTTACACAATTTTTTTACGGGGAGCCATAAGGGACTGCTGCCTTTGCATTGTTGCAATATTCTATAAGAATTCAGAATTTGGTAAGTGTTGGCTGCAGTTTTCCTTATCTTATGGTGGTGGAATTTAGGCATTATATGGTAGTTAGCGTTCCCTTGGATGGTTGAGATTTAGAATTATTCATTTAACTTAAGTCTTCAGTGATGGAGTTTGAATTGGGTGGTGGCTACTTGTATTATGTTTTAACCACATTTTAAGTAGTTATTTTTGGCCTTGTAGAAGGATTTTATGGCATGTCTCTTGCGGGTGGTATAGGTTGTGATTCAGTGGCTTATTGAGGCCCCTCGTGAATTTCAAATTAATTGTGATGTGAATCAATCTAGGAATTGCATTTGGAAAATAAAATGAAAGTTATTCAAAGCGTTGTCAAACAAATTTTATTACCAATAAAATAAAGGCTTAAATCGTTCTCGGTAATTAACTTGCTTAGGCGAAGATTTGCCTTGAGATAACCAAACAATTCATAGCACTTCCAAAATAAAAAGATCTACTTAATTGCTCATAACAAAATCCCACAATTAATAATGAAGAATTTCACCTTGAGTACCGCTCTCTCTCTCGTTCACTCTTGGGCTTTAGCGGAGGAGAAAGAACCATGCGAGGATGAAGAGTACCACTACGGAGAAGGCGACGAAAGACTTTGTTATCGGAGAGGTATTTGTCGGGGAAGGCGGTGGCGGATGGCGTCCGATGATCGTCCAAGTGTAACCACGAAATTGTCGGTCGAAAATACTTGCGAGAATCGGGACGACTCGCTCCAAGTACTCTTCGATTGTGGCGTCGTCCTCAAATCCTACATCGAAGCAAGGAGAGCGTAGGATATCAATGCTCCCGTCGGCGTGGAACACTAATCCCCACTCAAACTCCGTATCCGCCATTCGTCATTGAAGAAGGGATCGAAGGAGACAAGAGAAGGGATTGGGCTGTGAGCTATGGAGAGGATGGGAGGAAAAATCTGAAGTTGAATTTCAGATTTTGGGTGGAGGAAGGAGCCGTTATTTACTCCTAAGATTTCCCTTAATTAGGTGGGAGAGAGGGGCGGTTAAGGAGGGAAAATTAAGAGGGTAATTATGAGGTGCTTAGGTTGCAAGTAGAGAGAGAAAACTAGGTGGAGGGGGGCCGGCCAAGCAAGGGGAAAAGGGAGGGGACTTGATTAATTAGTGGGCCCCGAGGTTTTAATTAAAAATCTGAGCTTTAATTTCAGATTTTAATTAATTAGGGAAGTTTCAAATGAGAGGGGAGGGAAATTTGAATTTGAATTTGGGTCATTAATCCTCAATCAATTATTCACTAATTTGAGGAGTCAAATTAGGAAAGTAAATAAAGAGAATTGATGGCTGAATTCAAATTTCTCCTTGCACTGAAGCCGGCGGGATTAGCCAGGGGAGAGGAGGGCCGGCTGTAGAGGAGGAGGCGGGGTTGTGTTGGGGCCGCCGGCTTGTCCAGCCGGCGGCAAGAGGGGGACGGGATGGGAGATCGGCGGGATCAGGGGCCTGGGTTTGAGTCGGCTGCAGGCCACGGGAGAGGGGAGAGAGGCGGGTTCGGGTGGATGTGGGAATTGCTGGACCGGCTGCAGAGGGGGAAGGGGACGGGTGAATGGGGGAGGTGGTGGGGAAAGAGGAAAACAGTAAAATAAAATAAAAAGCCAAGAGCTCACCAATGGTGTCTGTTGGGTATTTCGGATGGAGCCTCTCCTCGGCCTCCTCTCTTTCTCTCAAGCTCTCAAGCATGAAGACAAAGAAAACTCTCAGAAATTTTTCATTAATCCAACATTAAGCTCATACAATAAGAGGAGACCCCTTTATAAAGGTCTCAAAGCATGAAAAGAAAAAAGACTCACATGCCCCTTGGGCTACAATAAACACTATGCCTTCATAAGGGTGAAATCGTCACTAGTACATGAAATAAAAGATACATAAAATAAAATAACATGACAACATCAAAAATATAAACTCCCGATCGTAGCCGTCGATCTACGATTCCTTCGCCGATAAACCTGCCTAAAATGTCTGTCGATGACCTCATAAAATTGGTTACATGCGCTTTCCTTTAAGAAGGTTTGTGGTCTTCAACTGTCATAGTTTGATTGCTATTTTGTCTATGGAATTAATTTAAACTTGAATTTAATTGTTTCTATGCCAACTATCTAGGAGCATAGAGAATGTGGATTCTATAAATAAATCTTTTGAGGTATATAGCTAGGAATTTTGTTTGTATAAGATTTCTCTTTTTTTAACTTTCAAGCTTGAGTGCATGTTGGATTTGAGATTTCTTTGGGTACGATATAACTGTGACTACTTAATTTTAGTTACAGTCATCACCTT